ACCGTCCCGCTTTGGTACGAGTACTACCGGAGAAGCCCAGGGACTATCTGAGGGCTCAATCACCCCCAGTTGGAGCATCTCATCGATCTCCTTGCGCATGTTTTCCCTTACCGCTTCGGGGATGCGGTAGGGGGTCTGACGCATCGGTAATTGCCCTGGGGTCTCTACCCGGTGAGTGGCCAGAGGGGTGTACCCAGGTACGTTGGAGAACGTGTCTCGTTTCTCTTCCAACAGCTGCCGTACCTCGATGCGCTCCTGTGGGCTCAGCCGGTCTCCCAGTGTGACTTCCCCTAAATCCCCAGACATCTGCCCATCTTCCAGCAGATCCGGGAGTGGTAAGCTGTCAGACTCATCTGAATTGGGCGCGCATATGGCGGTTACCTCCTCGGAGCGTGCTTGGTAGGGCTTCATCATGTTCACATGGAGCATGCGTCGCCCTCCCGTCCCTGTACAGGAGCCAATTATATAGGTGGTGTCACATCTCTGTTCCACCACCCTATAAGGGCCCTGCCAGGCGGCCTGTAGCTTGTCATGTCGGACAGGCTTTAAAATCAGCACTTTCTGCCCGACCTGAAAGCTACGGTCCCTGGCTCCCCGGTCATACCATGTGCGCTGGCGAGTCTGTGCCGCCTGAAGGTTTTCCCTTACCGTCCTGGTTAAGGCTTCCAGGCGGTCTCGGAGAGCCAACACATAAGGTATGATGGGGGTGCCATCTGCGCTCCGGTCTCCCTCCCAATGCTCTCTTATAAGATCTAAGGGGCCTCTGACCCTCCTCCCAAATAGCAGTTCAAACGGGGAAAACCCCGTGGATTCCTGCGGCACCTCCCGGTAAGCGAATAGGAGATGCGGCAGGAACCGCTCCCAGTCCTTGTGGGTCTCTGCGAAGGTTCGGAGCATTTGTTTCAATGTGCCATTGAACCGTTCGCAGAGCCCATTAGTCTGGGGGTGGTAAGTGGCACTGATAATAGGCTTAATGCCACAGATCCTCCAGAGGTGTTGGGTGAATTCTGCGGTAAATTGGGTACCCTGATCCGAGATAATCTCCCTGGGTAATCCCAACCGGGAGAATATCTGCATGAGGGCATCCGCGACCGCTTCAGCCTGAATGTTGGTCAGAGCCACCGCCTCTGGATATCTGGTAGCATAGTCTACTACCGTTAAAATGTACCTTTTGCCTGACGGGCTGGCTTTCTTGAGGGGACCTATCAAGTCTACCGCTATTCTGCTAAACGGTTCCTCAATTATTGGTAAGGGGTGTAGCTTCGCCTTCCTCCGGTCTCCCCTTTTCCCTACCCTCTGGCAGGTGTCGCAGGTGGTGCAATACCGGCGCACTTCCTGGCTGATCCCTGGCCAGAAGAAATTTTGGGTCAGTCGATACCTAGTACGGCTGACCCCTAGATGTCCGGATAGCGGGATATCATGCGCTATCCGGAGTAGCTCTGCTCGGTACCGCTGCGGCACCACTAGCTGCCTCGTCACTATTGGGTCTGACCCCTCAATCTGCTTGTCTGTCTCCCGGTACAAAAGCTGCTTGTCCCAGACAAATCTCTCCCCCCCTCCCTCCGGAGGGTCTGCTGTCACCTTGTCTCTGTATACCTGCAAGGTGGGGTCAGTCACTACCTCTGCCGCGAATTCGTTAGGAGGGGCCCAGGGGACACAGTCAAGGGAAGGGGAAGGGTCTTTTACCTGAACCTCCGGAAGTGTGTTGTAGTCCTGGGTGCGGGCCTGTTGACGGGTGACCACAGGATGAGCTTCTCCTGTGGTGGACGTCTGGGGCTCAAAAGCAGATGTGAGCCTCCCCAGATCGTTTCCCAATAAAACCTCCGCCGGTAACTGCGGCATCAACCCCACCTCCACATGTCCTGCCCCCCGCTCCCCAATGTAAATGTACCCTTGCTGTAGGTAGCCGGTACACTGCTCCCCCGGCTACCCTGACGGCCACAGTTTTACTTAGTCTCGCTTCATCCGAGACCAGATGACTTTTGACCAAGGTGATGGTAGCCCCCGAATCACGTAGGCCCTGTACTGCTTTACCCTCCAAGTATACGGCCTGCCTGTGATGCTGTCTGTTATCAGCATTGGCCTGGACTGGATCCGCCTCGTGTAGTACTTCCCACTGTTCCACGGTTGTTATGGGAACAGCTGACCCATATGGTGTGGCCACTATATTTTGGTAGTGATGGGCGGCGGCTGCTCTCGGTGGTGGTGGTGGTGGGCCGGGGCGAATCCAGGTAGAACGATCCCTCAGCTGGGGACATTCCCTTTTATAATGTTCCCACTTCTGGCAGTGATGACAGGGGCCAGAAGCGGGCTGGCGAAACCGGGGCTGTACAGTGGGTGGTGGTGGTGGTAGTTGCCTCGGTGGAGCTGGGTTGTAGCTGTTTCCCCCAAAGGTTTAAAAAATAGCTTTTGGGGCTGCTGGTTTCTGCTGCCTGCGTGCATCCAAGTACTCATCGGCCTTCCTAGCAGCTTCGGTAAGGGAGGTAGGGTTTCTGTCCCTCACCCATTCCTGGACCTCGCCTGTTACCCCCTCATAGAATTGCTCCAACAACACCATTTGCAATAAGTCCTCCATGGACCGAGCCTTATTAGACTGTACCCACCCCAGAGCGGCCAGATGCAACTTGCAAGCCCATTCCACATGAGAGTCCTTGTCATTTCTCTTTAGGTCTCTAAACCGTCGCCGATATGCCTCTGGCGTGATTGCATATCGGGCCAGGATCACTTCTTTTACTCGGCGGTAATTCCGAATTTCCTCATCAGGTACAGTTCTATAGGCTTCCGCCGCCTTCCCTGTGAGCTTCCCTGCTAAAATAGGCACCCACTCATCTGGGCTAATATTATGCAAGGCACACAGTCTTTCAAAGTCTTGGAGAAAAGCATCTATATCTTCCTCTGCTTCTATATACGTTTTAAAGGCTTGGTAAGGAATTTTTGTCTTACCCTGTGTGATGGTAGTTGTGGTGGCATTCCTCTCCAGCTGCTGTAGTGGCCTTTGGCGCAGTATAAACTCCTGTACCTCTGACATTGTCCTGGATATAATATCCGTTGTTGGATTTTCTCCATAAAAGGACAGCCTGAACTGCACCTCTCTCCGGAACTCTTCTTTTTCATCTGCTGCACTCTGTTGCTCAGGGATTACCCTGTCCTCCTGCTGGTATTCAGCCATCACTTCTGCAATGAGGATTGCTTTCTTTTTGTTGCTGGCTGCAATGCCTTTCGCTTCCAGGAGATCTTTTAGCGTGGAT